GGGTGGGAGGGGATGAGTTCAGAGTTGGGCCCATGCCCTGGGGCTGGCAGACAGCTCCTAGTGCACCCAGACACCTGCTTATTCCAGAGCAGATCAGAGGCCAACGCCTCTGGTTTACCCAGTGATGACATCACAGCTGTTCTCTGCCTGAGGGATGCATTTTCAGATGACCAAAGAAAGACATCAAGGGGGCCCATTGGGGCAAGGGGAGTGGGGCAGGAGGGTGGAATCAGAAGCACAGTCTAGAATAGGGCTATGTGTTAGGTATGTTAAACAGAAACTTCTTTCACCCTGGGTCACCTAGTCTTCACAGAACCAGCCTGGTTTCTTGTGACACTAATGGCCAGGATCACTCAATTAGCAGAGCATCGCACATGGCTCTGGGGCACTATCTCACTCCGAGAGGGTGTGCTCTCCCCAGGTGATGCCTGAGGGTAGCGAGTGTGACTTGTACATCTTGTATCTGGCTGGCTTCCACCCTGCATGGCATCTTTTCAAACTTTGGCTTAAGAAATATGGAACTGTTTTTGCTCTCTTTGTCTCTCTGAGCAGGGCAAGAGAGGGGCATCCTCAGAGCCTGCAGAGATGGTGGTGTTGGGACCTTGGGGTGAGGGGTCTGGACTGAGGCCCAGGGGCTGGGAAGTGCAGGTGGGGGCCAGGACCCTGTGAAGCCCGGTGGGATCTTGCCAATCAGCTGAGTGACCTGGGGCAGAGGACAGGGACAGAGGAGACTGCACAGCAGGCCCAGGATGCCCTTCCTGAGACAGCACTGACCTTTTGTCCAAAGTAGAGCTTGGTGAAGGTGAAGGTCCTCAGGTGAATGCTCTTCTCCCGGATCTTGGGCTCAAGCTTCTCCCGGAACTTGTTTTCCATAATGATGCTCAGGTAGGGCCAGATGTGGGAGATGATCTGGGAGGCCAGGAAGAGGCCCTGCTGGTCAGGTCTGTGCCCCCACCCCAGACTCACAGCTGTCTGAAGCTCTTAGGCTCGGAGCATGGCCATCTCTTGTCTAACCACAGGCTTTGCTAAAAAGCTAACTTGAAATTTCACTTAAAAATCTAACATTAAAATTTTTTATTTTAAAAATCTATTCTAAATACATGCATATAAGGGCCATGGGATCCTTATTCTGTACTACCCATTTGCCCACCCAGCCGTCCGTCTGTCCACCGCACAGTGGTAACCACAGCAGTGGTTGTCACTCTTGTGTGGGCAGTGGACCCCCGAGACCAGGTGCTATTTTGCAGAATACCATGAAACAGTCATTCACTAATACGATGAAGCCCTTTCGTGCTGTGGTACAACATAAATTACCTGAATCTTCTCTGTGGGATAAATAAGTAGCAGCTGGCTAGATGTTTAAGAAAAAAATCACAGAAAAGAAACTTAAATTGTTTCCTGCGTATTTAGTTTTATTTTAGCAGTCAGAAAAGGCTGCCTTCTACAGCAGATTTCTATGGCAGGATGACTCATGGTGCTGGTCTGGGAACTAAGTGCAGGGCCTGGGAGAGGAAGGGTGGCAGAGATAGGGCCTGGTGGCAGAGATGGTGATCGGAGGGTGCACAGGGAGCTCTAGCCGGCGACGGGCTCCATGTGGGGCAAAGGTTCCTTCCTCTTCCTCTCTCTCATCAGTTTAAAGATATACCTCCCCCTCTCCAAACCCACGACCAGAGGAGCCTGGGGGCATGAGGTTTGTCCCCATCTCCCTCAGGGGCCTGTCCCATCTTCCCATCCCCCTGCTTTGTCATTTGCCAAGTGCCTCTTGAGCACTAAGCTCTCTGGGACATATCTGATGCCCTAGCATGAGGTTTGTCTACATAACTTTCCCCATCAGGGAGCCTAATCCCGCTGGTCTGTGTGTGTTGGTGCAGGAAAGACACCGTGCGTGCGGGGCCTGTGAACTAGCAAACACAGGGAAGAACACTACCTTGGGGGCACAGTACACGGTTTGTCCCAGAGGCCCACATTAATCCACAGAAACCTGTTCACTCCTCTTAAGGCAGCAAATCGCTTCCTCCAAATTTTACCCAGAGGCTGAGAACAGTTTTTGATCCACTCGTCAGTGACATCTGGGGTAACATATATAATATATATAGCAACCTTAGATCAAAATCCATCAGGAAGTCCTTTTTCATATCTAACCTAAGTCATTCCTGATCTGGGCTAAGCCTCTATCCAGAACAGAGGCAAGGTCTGTGTTAAAGTCAGGAGACGCAGCGGGGGCTCCACGAGCCTTCACATTTAGGGACAGGTTTGGGCAGAACAGGTAGGAACCAGACTGATTTCCCACTGTAAGGGGACGGGTGGGGCAGACCTGGAGTCTCAGAGCCCAACCTGGGGCCATCTGCAGCAGTGCCTACAGGGAGTCCCCTGCGTGACCCAACAGCAGTCACACCTGTGATGACAGCGATCCCAGCACCCGCGATGAGCCAGGTACTGTGGTGCAGTAATTACCTCACTAATTCTCACAACAACCCCACGGGCAGGGACCATAATTGCTCCCATTGCACCGAGGAGGGAACCAGCTCTGAGGTGTTAGGCAACCTGCCCAAGTGCTGGTGGATCTGGATTGGAAACTAGGCCAAGGCCAGAGGCAGCTATGGAACCAACCCCCTTCCTCTCCCGAGGAGGCTCAATCTGGGCCTGGGGACTACGGGAGGCTGTACTTTAGGCTCTGTATTTTCTCACTTTGCTGCTGCACACGTGCGTTAATTGCACAATTTTAAAAAAATGTCTTTTCAAAGAAAAGAAAGTTATCGTCTGGTGATGAGAAGAACTGAGATGGTGGTAAGAGCTAAGGAGAGAGACAGGCAGAAGGCCACCACCCAAGCAGCAGGGAGGGTCTCTGTCCACACACTGCTCCACCCCCATCCCTGCAGGTGACTCAGGAGAGGCCAGCAGGGGAGGACCAGGCCTGGAGTGAGGCCAATCCCACGGGCGCGCTGGCCTTACCTTGTTGGCCCATTCGACCCGCTCCACGTCCGGGAAGTGGATCTAGGGAACAGAAGCCACGAGAGAAAGTTAGACTTGAGAACCAGACAGGCTGCCAGGGCAAACCAGATGGTGCTATGGGGTAGTCCCTGCTCCCCCCTTCACTGAGCACCCCCCTGGCAGGTGCCTGGCTAGCAACTGGGCGCCAGCCCTGCCCTCCAGGAGAGGACAGTCCAGTGGGACAGGCTGCAAATAACCGGACGGCACCCACACATGGCTGAGACACTGGCACGGCGGGGGCACCAGCTCCGCCTTGGGGTGCCCTCGTGGGCGGCTCTGGGAAGACTCTTCCTCCTTCCTTCCACCCAGGCCTGCACGCTGAAGAGGGGCTGGAACCCTCTCAATCAATAAGGCCCACCCTCTCGGTCCAAATTCCCCCTTATTCCTTTTGACCACACAAGTAATACTCCACAGAAAAATTAGAAATGTAGCTAAGCAAAAGGGAAATTTTTTTCTCTCCCATCACCCAATGCACTTTAATCAAAATTCTACCATCACCTGGTAGCATACAATGTCAGGATGGGCATGTCAGTTCAGTCCTACAAATGGCATCTCCCACAGATCTGCATTTCAAACACGTATGAAAAATAAAATATATAATATTTAGCTTTATAAATTTCCCCACTTCATCATCTGTCTTTAAAATAATTACTACTATCTCTGTCCCATCAATTCAGCAGCCTGGAGTCACTAAGCAAAGTATCAGCCAAGTGACACCCACTTCCTGAAAAGGCCCCAGGGAAGCACTCACGATAGTCAAATGCTCACAGGAACCAACATGGATTTAAACTAGCAGGTTGCCCACAATGTGGCAAGACATAAAGCACAGGAGCCTGCTGATGGCTGTAAAAGGGAAAATACTTTATCAGAGCATGCCACCCAGTGATAACGGCCGTTAGGTTGATACATTTCCTTCTAGTCTTTTCCAGAAACAAGTATGTGCAGTTTTCACAGAAATCGAGGTCACAGTGCTATTTTGCAGCCTGCTTTTTCTCACTTAATGGTGTACTGTGATTATGCTGACTCTAAATTAACTCCTGTCAATTTGGAAAGCCAGAAAGGGCTTCATGGTGTTTACATTGACCCTCCCCAGCTCTCAGGAGCCCCACCCAAGTCCCAACCCTTCCCCAGCAGAGAAGGCCCGAGGCCTGGTCTTACAGCAGTTTCCTCCAGGTCACAGCCCCCAACCAGTACCTGCTGGGTGAGTCCTGCACATCCCTGGGCGAGGGGAGGTCCCCAAGATTAGTGAAAATCCTGTTGGTTAACCTTTGCATGACATGACTTAAGGGAGCTTAATACCCTCCCCACAAGAGTAGCAGTCTCCAAATGTATCTGCTGAGCTTCTCATTCCCCTCCCCCGGGATTTTTGGGATGGACAGAGGGCAAAGAGTGTATGGGGGGGGGGGCACTGGCACAAAACATGGATAAATAAAATGTCAGCAATGGCCATTGCTGTTGTCATGCCCCAAGTCTCCTGAGCACGAGGTCAGCTCCAGATAGGTCACCATGGTCCTGGGACCTCCCAAGGTGAAGAAAGGCCTGCCTTTCCCATCTGGGGGCTCGAGCTCACTGTCCAGGGACTGAGCAGAGGTGCTCATGCAGCTCTCCCACCCAGTGCACACCTACCAAGCCCCTGGATGCCCTGAAGGCCCAAACCGAGACCCTGGCCAAGAGCACTTGCGCAGGAGGAGAGCCGTTCCCAAAGGAGGGATAAAGCACTTGAATTCTCTTGGAGCAGTTTTTAACAGCTTGAGAGGCCAGAGGAGACCAGTACTTCTGAGACTCCTGGGACATCATGCCATTCTCCCAGCCTGTTTCCCCAGCTCTGGGCAGTGGTCCATACTAACTTGGAGAAGCATCTGATATTCCCAGGTGCTGAAAGCCTACTATCTGCTTCCCAGACGGAGAGCTGGCCCAGCCCCCAGAACAGGGGGAATGAGGGGAAGGAAGTGGGCAGGAGCCGGGGTCAGGCCCACCAGTCCAGCCGGGCAAAAGCAGCCTGTTCACCACACGTTCCCTGCAGCTGCCCCGAGGCAGGGCCCAAGCTGGGGACCTGGAGAGTGGAGGGTGGGACCCTTTCATTGCCCCCTACCACATGGCCCAGCTCTAAAGTAAAAACTCCTGCACGTGGGCCCTGCGAGGAGCCCCAGCCCATACCATGGCCTCATTCCCCAGAACACCCCTCCCTGGAAGTACAGTCACCTTGACCTTTGCCGTTCCAAACGAAGGCCTGCACATGCCATTCTGTGGCTCTGAAACACACTTCCCTATTCTCCTTTGACTGCTCCTTTGATTCCTCACCATATTAGACTCCACTTCTTCCAGGCAGCCCTTCCAGATCTCTCAGGTCAGGGATGAGTGTCCCTATTGTGTGTCTGATTCTCCGTTGCAGCATGTCACACACATTAGAGCTGCTTGGTGGTACTGCCTGCCTCCTGACCAGACTGGAAGTTCTAGTGGGCTGACTCAGCCTCGCTCCCCATTAGCGCCTGTCCCTGGCATGTGAATGTATTAATACACACTTGTGGAATGAATGAATGAATATGAACGAATGCAATGCTCTTGCCTTCGAGGAGCTCCCAGGATAGTGAAGGAAGCAGGCAATTTGCAGACCATTCCAGTGCAGGATCAGAACCGAGGGGGACGGGTGGAGGGGGACATCACAGAGGAGAGTTGAGTTGGGTTACAGCTGGCCTCTCCCTGGCACCTTCTGGCTGCACCCCTGCTCTCCTCCCATCCTAACCACTGCCCACTCATCCTGCCCCAGGGCAAACCTCTATGCATCCCCCTTCCTCCCCAGGGAGTTCTGCACCCCCGGGAGCTGAGAGGTTCTGATCTGCTGGACCCTGGAAAGGTGATCCAGGTTGGCAGGTTCAACCCTGGCCACACTTGGGAACTAGTCAGACAAAGATTGCTGAGGGGCCCCACACCTACTGAATCAGAGTGCGGCAGGGCGAGGCCTCCATTTAATTTTTAACAAGCTCCTGGCATGATTCTGGAGTTTAGCAGGGGTGTTGGGAGGTATCAATGCCCAGCCCATCTCTTGCTCTAGAGTGACCCACACTCACCCTGAGAGTGAGGACAGCAACAGAGTGCCCAGGGCCGCAGTGGTTAACTTTGCATGGTGTCTCTGGGCCACCCACACCTGTAGTTGAGGCCTCTTGCTAAGAGATTCCTCCAGATAGCGAGCCTGAACCCCAGACAGAGCAGCAATTCAGACCAAGAAAATAAGAGGCCATCGGGTCACCCCGTTCTGCCTCAGGCACTCTGAAGGCCCCACCTCGGCCTGACTCAGCACCTGTCCCCTCCCCAGGGAACCGATATCGGAGCCAGGCCACCTTCTTTGTGTTCCTGGTTAGGTTGTGGACCAGCGAAGGACATTGAGAGAGACCGACACTTACGGAGCAACTCCTCCTGCCCAGTGCTTAGCCCGATGCAGACAAATTCGTCTCCTTTTCCATTATCACCGGTCTTTCGGGGATCTTTCCCTACTCCAACGTCGCAAAGTTATTTGATGTTTTTATCTATTGGCTTTATATTTTAGCTGTTGCATTTAGGTCTACAACCTGGCTGGAATTTTTTTAATAGTGGGTCAAACAGGCTTATAATTTCATTTCTCTCTACACTCTAAGGCAATTTTCTAACATCACATACTAAAAAGGAAGGAAGGAAGGAGCCATCCACTTTTTTCCTCATTTGTGAGACCACCTCCTCATAAATCAGCTTCTCGTGTGCGCTCTCGTGGGTTGAGCTCCACGGTCTGTTCCTGTGCGGGTACCGTTCTCTTAATCACTCTGGCTTTGCAGTATCACCTGAGGTAGGGTGAATCCCCTTTTTAGGCTGATTTTGAAAATAGTAGGTATTTATATTTCCATAGGAATCTTAGAATCATTTTATCAATCTTCAACAACAAAAAATCCTCCTGGGATTCTGATTGCTCTGTTTTTGAATTTATAGATTACCTTGTGGGAGACCTGACATCTTTACAATACTAACTTCGCATCTGTGAACAGATCATTTCCCTTTATTCACTCACATCTGACTATATTCACAGAGGGCCATAAGCTGTGGTCTATTAAAGTCCTGGACATTTTTTGTTAGATTCTTTTGTGGGTTTTGAGGTTACTGGAAATTTCATTTTCTGGGCTACTTGGTTGAAATCTGTTACTAGTTCTAACCATTCACTGATTCTCAGAGGTTATTTACATACATTTTTTATAACAGCCAAATAATAACAATTGCTGTCCTTTGCACCCTGCCTAATCTTTATTGTTTGTTTCTCTTGTGTGACTTTGCTGGCCAAGACCTCTAGTCCCACGCTAGGCACCCCTATCTTGTCCCTGACCTCAGAGGGAAGTTTCTCTACTAAGCACGATTTTCGCTGAATATTTTTAGAGGACGGCCTCTATCAGATGGAGGAAGTTCTCTTCAACTCCTACATTTCTAAGAGTTTTCATTATGTACAGGTATTGAATTCTGTTCAATATTTTATCATACCTATGGAAGATAACCATGTTAGTTTTTCCCTTTTGTCCACTAATGTGGTCAACTTAACTGATGTTTCTTTCTAAAGCAGAACCATCTCAAGCTCCTGGGTGAAACCCCCTTTTTGTAATATATTTAGTCTGCCTGATATCTCATTTAGGTTTTATACACTCATGATTCAAAACGATACCTACCATTTTTGTTCTTGTACAGTTCGTATCTGGTTTTGGTAGAAAAGACTTCATAATAAATCGTAAAACGAGTGAGACAGCTTTCCTTACCCTCCTCTTTTCTGGAACTTGTAAATATAGAAACTGTCTGATCCATGAAGGTTAGTATATCTTACCTAAAAAACCATCTTAGCCTGAGGATTTTGGGGTGGTGAATTGCCATTTTTCTCTTTAGTGGTTAGTGGTGTACTCAAGGTCTCCTCATCTCTTACCATGGTAATTTTGGCATTTATATTTCTTCTAGAAATGTATTTCATCTTGGTTTTCAAATGTACTGATATGTAGTTG